TGGAGGAACAAAAGCATATACAAAAAAAAAAAAAAAAATCATAGGCCCCCAGAGCCAAAAAGACTTTAAGGAACATTCATCCAGAGGTTTTCAAACAGTTTGTTTTTAATATTGGAATCTTTTATTTTTATTTTTAAGAAATCATACAACAAGCCCCAGTATATAAAATAGATGAAAGCAGAGGTGCTATGGTTGAATTGTCGGTGAGGGAACTTGTATCCCCTCCATGAACTCTTCGTGCTCTGTAGAATATAATTTGAAATCCATTAATCGAGTCTACAGGATTACTTTAAAGATGGGAAAAGTGAAGCCCCAACAGTAGAAATGACATGCCCAAGGTTATTCAGACAGTTAGTGACAGAGACAGGATAAAAACATATGCGTTCTGTCACCCAGGCTAGAACTATTTGTCAATTGAATTGGAGAAAGGGGCTATGGATGCTTCCTTCTTGAACGGTACCAAGGAGAGTTTGGTGGACAGTGCAGTGGCGGGAGGAAGTCTAGGAAAAGCAAAGGAAAATGGACTCACGCAGCATACAGGAGTTGAGAGCCCTGGGGTTCAGGAGAGAAAATTGAAACTTTAGGAATCTGGAGGAGACCCAGAAAGTTTCATAGCAAGGGTCCAGTGTCAATTGGGAAGTACAGAGCAAGATAGGACAAAAAGGCACTTTGGAAATAAGTGTCAACGGGAAGTTCTTTCTTCCCTCCTCCCCCACTAAAATGCCACATTCGTGGTCTGGGGTGGTAGTAAGACACAAAGGAAAGGCAAAATATGCTTCTCTAGGGTGAGCGGCAGTTCTTTCTTTCATACGACTTCCTAAGATGACCGGGGTTGTGGCACAGTTCTCCTTTGAGGACTTGAGAATTATAATTCACACTCTGCTCTGAATTTGAAAGTACCTAAGAAATACACACGAGAGTTACGAAAAGATCAAATTATCTGCTTAATTAATAATTAAATTGGTTACACAATATGATTTGTACCTAAAGTCAAAATGCCCTTCCTCTAATTTTCCCCTGGATAATTCCCCAGCTCTAGTCACAGGCCTCTGTGAGTTCTCTTAGTGGAGGAGAGAGGAGAAAGCATGTGGTCTTTAAACAGAACACAGAGAGTTAGAGGCCCCCCCCCCATGTCCACTCTCACCGATCACGTGTCATTTCTTTCCTTGTCCGTGGAGACAAAATAATAAAGGGGTGATTTAAAAAGGCAGAAGTACATTTTATGGACAGATGGGGTCATGTGGCAGGGAGAGATTCTGGACCCCCTATGCACCCCTATTATTTAAGATTATAAAATTTAATTGTGAGGGAGAAGTTAGAGCAGTAAACGTATTTATAAACACCCATAGAATCGTCTACTTTTCAGCTTTGGCCCAGTAGTTCCATCAGCATCAGGGTTAGTAACAGAGCTGATGTATTTACAAGTACCATTTCCTCATTCTCACTCTTCCCAAGTTCTAACCCTTGCCTGAATCAGAACTTTGTCCTTCTTTAGCTTTTTCATGCCTGCTTTGGTTCAGGGCCTCAAGAGAGAAGCAAGAGGAAAGAAAAGCAAGGCCCTTGGGGCTGGTGCTCCTCAGAAGATAGAAACATGCAGAGTAGGAATATCTTAACTGTCCATCCCACACCCCAAATATTTGGCCCCGGTCAGAGATTCTTCTGACCCTTCTTTTGGTGAGATTATTTCCCTTCAGGGTACTTGGAATTTGAATCACATGCATTGAGCCAAGAAACATTCTCCTACCCTTTGGAATCAATATAAACCAGTCATTCATCAATTATTTTCAATAAAGTTTTATTGAGCATAAATTGTGACAGGAACTGTGCCCGGAGATCGGAATATGGTGGTGACGGAGACCTAGTCGCTCAAAATCCAATGAGAGAAAGCTAGGACTTTCCCCCCATGAATTAAAGTGTTAAGAAGTAGATGCTCGAATTGACTTGTCCTCCTACCTCGTCCTCTTCTTTTGGGAAAGCCAAAAGCACAAAGATATAGACTAACCTGCAGGGAATCTCAGACCATTTAGTATCACTTTCCTTTAACTCTCCATCTTGCATCTGCAACCTTCACCCCATTCTGCCTTTGCAGACACAATAGTGCTTCTGACAGGGCACTATCAAGACTGGGGAGAAGTAGAAGGGGAGGTGGCAGCAGTTCCCCAGTGGAGCTCTGGAAAATTCGGAAGGGTCAGGTGATTCAGCTCTGATGGACTAAGAAGCTAGAGTTTCCTAGCTGGGAGCTCAGGCGAAAAAAAAAAAAGGGCTGGATTCTGGGCATTTGGTTTTGCATCTACACTTATTCTGAAAAGATCTGGAAGAGGTGGAAGTCCAGTAAAGAGAATGTAGTGGCAGCTCCAAGATAGAGCAGCCCTACTATTGGGGTCATCCTTTTTGGCAACAGAAATCAAGTAAAATAGTAAAATGATCATGTCTGTTTGAAATGTTTGAAGGTAGGGATATGGGTGGACCATTCTGTGTTGCAATCTTGACCTCAAAATTCTTTGTTCTGCAAATTTAAATGTATAACAAGGGAAGGATAGAGCTTGCGAATTGAATGAGGCAAGCAAAAAGCTAGACTTGATTCTTGAATTGGAGGGAGGCTGGCTGCCTGAGCTTGAGGAGCAGGAAAAAAAAAAAAGTTAGGGGACTGGAAATGGGCTGCAGGTTAAATAAGGAGGTTCGGCTCTGCATTTCCCCAATATTGCTCATGGTGCACGACTCACGCTCTCTGCTTGGATCCCAAACACGTACGGAATGATGAGGGGACGTAGAAGAAAAACGGAGTTTGGACCGCACAAATTGGCCCGAAATGAAAAGTCAGCAAAAACCACTGGGTGGCAGCGTGGTGTGCGGGCGCAGCTCTGCAGTGCCTGCTGCTAAGGCAGCTGCTGCTGCCGGTGGGGCTGAACTGGTCAGGAAGCCCCGGCCTCTCCCCTGAATGGGTACAAATGTCGCCAAGCGAAATACCTCAGTAGGGGTTATTAGCGAGGTTGTTGTGAGTTCGAGCCTGGGGCAAGTGGCTGGCGAACTTCCCAGAGGCTCCAGCCAGGCCGTAATCTGGCTAGCTGAGAGTCAAACACTAATGAAACACCCCACCACCGCGCCATCCTTCATCTCCAAGCACCCCGCCCCCCCCACCATCTTCGTTTCCCCAGTGCAACTACCTCATCCCAGTACAACCTCCATCACTGTTTGTTCCTGAAGCTCCTTTCAGGAACAGGAGGGGAGGAAGATTTGGTGATGGGGCAGTGCCTAAGCCCCTACAGGTGTTAGCCCTAGAAGCCCGGCGAGGACTTGGCGGCGGGGAGGAGGCCCGCGGCCCAGAGCCAGCGGGCTGGGCTCCGGGAAGGAGGGGCCTCTGGCGGAGGGGGCCTCGGGGAGGCTATCGCGATCTTCTGGAGAGTGCCTGCGGCGACGGAATTCCTGTGCTGAGACTGTGCCGCGCCCAGAGCAGCAGCAGCAGCAGCACCAGTAGCAGTAGCAGCAGCAGCCGCAGCAGCAGCAGCAGCAGCAGCAGCAGCAGCCGCAGCCACAGCCGCGAAGATGCGAGGCCATTACCTGTTTGATCCCCGTCGGAAAGCTGGCACGGGCCAACTTTTCCCGATTGTCACGCCAAGAAGTTTCAAGGACTAGTCGGAGGCTCAGAGGGGCCAGGGCGAGGGCGCGCTCCCCAGCGCGCTTCCCCCTTCCCCCCTCCCTCCCGCCGCCCTCGCTCCCGGCCTCTCT